GTGGAAGGTGTCCCTGCTGATGGCAGGGGGATTGGAACTAGATGATCTTTAAGGTCCCTTCCAACCCAAACCATTCTATGATTCTATGATTCTATGCTGCCACGTACACTGTCAAGTCAAACTGCATTCGTCAATCTCTTCTATCTAGTAACTGATTATATGATTCATCTTCATAGTAATCAGGTCATCACACTGAAATATCCAGTATCTAAGCAATATGGCACTCCTGCAAGGAGGTGTCACCATGTGAAGTCTACACCAGTACTGAAATGTCTACTAGGACACATACCTGATGCTCACATACCAGTGTGACATACAAATGTCATCAAGCAGAATTATGGGTACAGAAATTTGAAAATGCAACTAACAGTTTCCATTCAATTTATTACAAACTTGCACCACCTGAAGAAAGACTGAGAAAGAAAAGGCCTAGGGCAGAATGGCAGATCCTTTCTTAGAGATACACAATATGATAGTGCACAACACTTACCAAAATCTGTAACTACAGCAAAGCAGATCATCCATTTCATCTGGAGAAGAGGTCTAATGAAGACGTGAACACAGACTGAATGCATTTCTTTTTCCATTGGTTCCTCCAATTATATCTCATTTTGTTACTTGTTATATTCACAAAATCCATATCCAAATCGGATTAGTATTAGCATATACTTTATTCCATCAGTGATAGTTAAATGTCTTTGTTTTGAAGAGGCTGAATAAAGACATCTAGCTAAAACTACTTTGTTCCTTAGAGTTCTTTTCTTATTGGCCTTTTCTTTCAGGCTCTCAACTTCTTGTGACTAACCTTTTAGTGCCACCGTACAATCACACCAGTCTTACATTTGTGAGGTATAGTATTTTAAGGAAAATAGGGGAAAAAATGTTATGTATGATACCCTAAGATTTCTGTCATGGAGACTAGTAAAAAAAAAAAAACCCAAAACCCCAAAACAAACAACAAAACATTTTACAGATTCAAGGAAGCTGGGTTACAAAAAATAAACTCTGGAAGACACAAGCATTTCTAATCTGTATTAACACTACTTCTTCATGTGGTTGTTTACTGGCAGTAAGATGAAGGGATTTACCTCCCCCCCAATTATTCTTCTGGTTTCGGTTTGTTTCTCTCTTGCCAATCTTGCACATACATAATTGTAGCACATATTAATTCATTGTCATGGTATTATTTTTGTTTTGGCTTTCCCCAAGCTGCTCTTACTGAACTAGCTGTGTTTCCTCATGCAGTGAGGAAGAAGTGAGCATTGCTTCCTCCTACCATTTAAATCCAGGCTTCTGATGTATATGCTGCCCTGTTTTATATATGAGGGCTTATCATAGTGCAATAGATTTCACTTTTGGGCCATTGCTATGCCTTTCACAAATTTTCAGCTCTCAGAATATAATTTTCACATAGGCCTTTAATTCTCACACTTTACTGTTCTCGGGTACTTTCTCTCAGGCTCTCGCTGTTCCGGGACTGCGGTTTCGAATCGGGATTGTCACTCCTCCGGGATCGTTATCTGGGAACGGGCCGGGCTTGGTTGGCAGGTGGTGAGCAATTGCACTGTGTATCACTCATTTGCATATTTTATTACTATTATTATCATTACTATTTTAATATCAATATTATTTTAAGTTTTATTTTATCTCCATTTTTAAATTGTTCTCATCTCAACCTCGGAGTTTCCTTGCCTTTGCCCCCAATTCTCTCCCCTGTCCCCTGGTTTGGGAAATGAGTGAACAGCTGTGTTTAGCTGCTAGCCAAGTGCTAGCCAAGTGAAACCACCACAAATGTGTACACGTAAGCTCACAGTTGGGTTAGCAAACAAGAAAGTCTTATGACAGCAACATCCCTATGCACTGATTACCCAAAGTTTCACTATTTCTATGTTTGTCCATTATATATTTACCACAGACAGTGATAGCAGTGATTATAAATCTGAGGGTTGGTTGTGAGTACTGCTCTGCACTCACCAACACCATATATGCACTTTTGCAACATTTCCTTTTGCCTCTTACGAAGTCAGCCTGACAGCTGGCAGAGTTGCCTTTTGCTGCGTAGGGCATTTCTCCCCATATGCTTCTGAACATGTGGCAGTAGCATCTTCTAACAGGAAGGTCAGACTCTGTGCTGTCCTGTGCATAAATGAAACTATTTGGTTTAGTTTAGGGCTGTGCATAGATATTTGTCTATGGCACTTGGGCAATCTTTTCATAAGCATTGGGCTGAAAGCCCAATCAACACATTATCTCTTCAGAAGTTCAGTGTCCAAAATTTTGGAACTTGTAAGGGTTTCTACTTAACTGTCCAACATTTGTTGTAAAGCAACAGTTTACATGTAGTGTTCACAGAGCCCCTGTCTCAAATTTACACTTTCTCAAATGCTTGGTTTTGTTTCCTGAATATCTCACAGAGCAGCTCAGATGCTCCTAAGCACTGCAGTGGTCCTTCCTTGTGTTAGCTTCTTCTCTGCTGTAATTAAAATTCTGGTGTGCCTTGCCAGTTTCTTAACATACCTTTAGTTCATCGCACAGTTTCTGTGTATCTGTCTGCTTCTCTAGCTCTTACATACACACTCTGTCTTCATCTCAATGCTTTTCCCTGCAGAGCTTGAGTTATGGAATATTTGTTTCCCATACGTAAAATTTCACCCACCGCTCTGCTGAGCTGACTGGTGTTCTCTTTCATAGGGACTCAGGATCTTGTTAAACCTTTGCCACAGGTAGCACCATCCCACTGTGATCAGACTGCTTGAAGTCCTGCTAGCCTAATTTGGAGCTACCTGGCCTGTAGCTACATCATGCTGCAGCCACATCTGACTGATTAAGACTCAAAATCTGCCACTAAACTATTTATCTAGAGCCATGCTTGTCTCAGTGCAAAGCTATAGTGAAGGATCAAGGATTATCCTGTCTGGATGCACAATGTAGCAATAAGCTAATCTTTAGGTTTAGTTTGTTTGTTTTCCTGCCAGCACAAAATAGAAAATGCAAATCAGAAAACAAAGGCAGTGGGTACAGAGTTCAGCTCATCCTATTGTGGACAGATGAAAAGGGTGTGCAGGGGAGAGGAGGAGGTGTGGATCATAGTCTGAAAAAAAGGAACTGGGACAATGGAACAGGGAGAATGACATGGTGAAGCAGAAGCATATTTCCATATTGAACTTTGAATGCTTAAAGTTCCTTACACATAAAACATGGGAGATCAGGCACACCACTTTGCTGGAGTCACTCTGTGCTGTGCAAGGGGATTTGAAATTGAAAGTCTGTGCAAAATCCTGTCTTTATCCCAATATAAAGACTGCCATCTTTTATTGCTCTCCTTTATTGCTCCTCTTCTCCTATAACATCCCTGTTTCTCCTACCTGACAAATTTTACCCATCTAAAATCTGTGGCCGCAGACATTTCCTGAAGCTGTTACAATAGACTGTTCCCAAGCTAGTGGGTGGATAAAAGCCATGCCAGCTGCAGTAGCTTCTGGACTGGACAGACAGTTCTCTCCTTGTTCACTTAAGTTTGCTTCAGTGGACTGTGGTATTGTAGGTGTTTAAGTCCATAGTTGCATCTTTTGCAACCTCCATTCTGACAGCAAAGGTGAGGAAGAAAACTTGGGCTACCGGGCATACATTATTTTTCAGACAGATATTTTATTAACTTCACTACATTAACAAGAAAACAGGAAGAACCATAATTCCTACAAGAAGAGTTAAGAATAAAACACACCAGTAGAAATATCACAGTTACAGCAAGATTTGTATCACACTCAGCTAATTTATGCTTTAATATTAAAAAGGTGCTTTCACTTTAGTGCAGTAAAAAAGTATAAAAGAAAGGAAAAATATTATTTTCAAGCAAGAAGGTTTGCTGTGAGGATATTTTTTGTTCTTGTCTTTAGTCTGTCTCTGTGGCTATTAACCTTACAATGTAGTGGCCAGATTATAATAGCTGATAGGATAAAAGCTAACAGGTAATAGAAACAGTGCCTCGATGTTATAAAGCTAGAGGGGGAAGACTATATGCACACCTAGATTAAAGCATCTGATACCTAAGAGGCTGACATTTCCAGGCTCCTTCTACAGTTGGACAAGTAATCTTCCCCAGAGGCCATTTAAATCATATGTCTGCTTCTTTCTTGGGCATCTCTTTTTCTCTACTGAGGGACCTTGAAGAGATTTGCCGTTAATTTAGGTATCTGAGTCACGTGCCTAATATTAAGTAGTGTAGAATCTTCTCTTGTGTCCTTACATTTCTTGGAGGCTAGTTGAACCTGCCCCTAACCAGATTTCCAGGAGCAAGGCTTTACATGCATGAGCAGTGCCCTTTGAAGTAAATGGGAAAAAAAGCAGGACAATTCACTTGCATAAGGCGTGCTCACCTGCATGTCCTTACAGTTTGATGCAAGAAGTAAGATGTATCTCATATTCATCCTCAAGTTCCTTTTTATGGAAACATCTTTTATTCATGTAGGCAAAATAAGGAGTAGGGGGGAAAAATGAAGAAAACTAAAAGCCTCCTCCCCTCAAATGCCTGCCCATGTTGCAGAAACAATACAGTCACTTCCTAAAGATGTTCCATTAATGTTGAATACTAAAAAGGTACCTCAATCCTCAAAGATTCCTCCCAGTGTTTATCTTAAAATGTTCCCATTATGAGACGACATATTACTCCTTAGTCTCTTCAATATTGTATTCCCCTCAGGTAAATCTCACCAGCCTTTGTTTGCTGGATAAAATTTGGGCCAAGAAACAGAATCATACTATCCTGGGGCCCATTCAAATCTTGATGTGATGCAGCTATGGTGTTAATGTTTCCTGGAGAACTTACTGGTTCTCTTAGTTTAAGAATGGAAAATGCTGTAACCCCAGGGAACAGTTAACCACAAGAAAAAAGTTCGTACAGTTTTCAGTAGTGGTTGACATAAAGGTCTTAAATAATGTCAGGCAGTCTTTAAGGCAAAGCGAGTGATGCAATATTTACTACCGAATGTTTTTATGTATTTTTACAGTCCAGTAGAGATGTCATGCTCTGCAGTGGATGGTGTGATTGTGGAACTAACTCTTTCTAATTTCTCCCGATAAAGATTTGGACATTTTTTGCACAGGTGGGCTGCAACATGCTTTCGGAAAAAGGCGTAAAGGTATTTCCTAAATTTTTCTCCAACAAATGCATAGATCACAGGATTGATACAACAGTGGATCATTGAGATTGTTTCTGTCACTTGGATTGCTTTCTCTAGCTGACCTTTGATTTCACAATTTGAGTCAAAAAGTAAACTTTGAAATGTATGCAAAAAAGAAGAAATATGGAATGGTGTCCAGAAAATGAAGTAAAAAATCATTATCACAAAAATAAGCCGGACTGCCTTCTGTTTTTTCTCATTCTTGCATCTCAATAATGTTTTTAGAATTTGTGAGTAACTGAAAATCATAATGAGCATTGGAACAATAAGTCCCAGGATGTTCATCTTTAAAATGTAGGAGTACTTCCAATTTATTGCTGCATCGATTGGATAATGAGCACTGCAAGTATAACGTGAA